TTTTTGAATATGGCTCTTTGAAAACGAAAAAGCATAGATTTTCTTACAAAATGACTAATAACTAAAAAACTAATCCAAATTTTTGAAAAAGAAAAAAAATACTTCTTCATTATGTCAAAACACAATTATATGCCGAGTTTCGTGCCTGGGCGAGGCTTCTGGGGCGATATATTGTGATTACAGACACACACAGCCGCGTTTATTATTATGTATAGATATATTGATTTTATTATCTCCTTAAAGCAAAATCCAATTGGCGTGTAAAAAGTTGATAAGCTTAAATATAATAAGTAATGTAGCGTAACTACCACTATAAATATTAAATACGAAATGAGTAGTATATAAAGCATGTTAACTCATATTTGACCAGAGATATCACTTAAAATATGACGCTTAGCATCTTAATATAGTAGTATATTCCCTCAGTATTATAGTTCTCTTTTATTTCATGTAAAATGCAATTACTATTTATTTATTGGTTTTTACTTATTTATTTATTTGATTTATAATTTATTTTTAATATATCTGCTTATTTTAATTGCTTCGAAAACAATTCGATTAACTTCAGAAAAATAATAGAGCTCAATATTGCGAACTCAATGTTTACAAACTGAACGCTGCTAATATACTAATTGCTATATATCTTTGTTCTCAATCTAAAACATAGAGAGAACGGTAGCAACGCTATTTTTAAACGTGTTTACTAACCGAAAACACAATTTAATAATGAGTCCTATAAGATTAATTAAATCTCGGAGTAAAATAAAACGGTCGCTTTTCTTTCATTAATTACTGATTATCTTTATCCTTAATCTTAGAAGAAACTGCTGAAGCACTATTTTTAAGCTAGTTTACAAAAATTTATTAATCGTCCTGAGCTACTCTTCTTGAAATTTTCGAATTTGCAGCGTCACCCCCGCATCCTGGATTGTTTTTTTGTTCCTGTTTCTCTAATTCCTTTTTTTTCTTCTTTTCTTTTTTATCCTCATAACCTGTGATTGTGACTCAGGCAGCATGCACGTATGAATACCCTGACTTCATTTCCACAGCACCTCGATGCGCGGATAAATATAGTTCCACACGGCCCGATTTTGGAGGGCGAATCGCGCAAGAAAAGTCTAGTTAACTGCGGAAAGAAGATCGGACGACGAGGTGGAGGAAAGATCGTTTGCTCCTGTTTAGTTTCAGTTTTGTTCGAAAGTGCCAGTCGAAAGGGTGACCGTGAAAATTTATGTACCATTGGATTTTTCTAAGAAAAATGGCTTTTTAAATAAGAGGTGAGTTAATGACTTAGAATTTAAAATATGTTATTGCGGTGTTTGGCTGAAATTTGTGATGTAATTTTAGGGAAAGATAATGACAAAAAAATTAATCTTTTATGAAATAAATTAATATTCAATAAGCGAGATAACAATTTTTCAACATTATTCATTTACCAGTATTTGTGAAGTGATATAAATAATAAATTGATGAGTTATCTTGCTATATTCGCATAAGATTATTGTTACTGTAACAGAGATGCCAATTTCCTTGGGACAGCAAATATATATATTGAAGTGGTAGTTTATCAATTGTGATTCTTGGTTTTATAAATTCAGTTTAGTAGACTTTTATCCACTACTATTTCTAAATAATTCGTAGGCTTATATATTTCATCACTTCATAGTATTTGTGTCATGCTATACCTTTTTGAAAGGCAAGCAAAAATAGTCAAATATTTGCAAATTTACTTTGTAGTTATTTACCGTTTTTTTAAAATTATTTTGGCGTGTCCGGAGCAGTTGGCATCTCTGCTGTAACAGTGAAGTGATAGGCTATCAAGTGTAGTCTAATCTGATTTTTTCTAGCATTGGTTTCTAAATTTCTGATCGAAATTAAAACATTAATTCATATGCATCACTGCTAAGTTTTCCGGAAGATTTTATTTCTGTATTTAATGTAGAGGCAGGTTTTTTTCAAAAATTCGTAGGATTCATATAGATTAAATATGAGGCATAACTTATCTATTTTATTTGATACTTTATCTATTTTGTTTCGTGATTGTTTTCTTACAATTATGTATTACAAGAAACATGTTTTGATCTACCCACTTTACCCTAGAGTAAAGGGGGTATAGCTCTATAATTAGTATATATTTCTCTGAAATACATATGCAAACATTGTTTTAGAAAAAAAAAATGTTCTTAAATAAATGTATCATGATTATATTTAAAAAAAAGCTAAAAAATATTTTTTTTTCTTATTATTATTAAATTAGAGTTTTAATTTTTTCTTATTATTAATATTCATGGCTAATCAAATTTTGTTTTCACTTCTGATGCAATATACTTTGCACAATTTTATCAAGAAGCTAAAATTGTAATAGTTTTTGGTTTATTTGAAATCAGGTCTGAAAGCGAGAAGGAAAGGAGAAAACACTAGTAGTAGAATTATTTCAATAACATATAATTTTCGGAAGAAGTAAATCTATTCTTAACAATAAACAATTCACTGCTATTATTTTTTTTCTCGTGGAAGAATCAATTCAATTTATAAATTGCATCTGTTAAAAAAGTTTAGTAGTTATAGATTATTATTCCCGAAAAAAAAGCAAAAAAAAAAAAATTTTTTTTTTGTAACCAGTTTTTACTTTTTTTCCGTCTTGATATATACATACTTTCTGCCAAGTTTGAAATATAAATAAAAGTGGCAAAATTAACATCTATAGTGGTAATTTAAAGTGTCTTTACTTTTTATAGCAAACAGGTATTTATGCTGAATTTAGTTACTTAAAAGAAATTGTTTTGTTCTTTTTTTCCTAACCTTTTGTTTTCCATGAAAAAACTGCCATAATGAAGGCAGAAACTTGCATGAAAACTCATCTATATATTTAAATATGTTCATTAAATTGTACCATTATGCTATTTATGTAATTTTTTTTAATTGTATTATATTTCTGTTGTATTGTTTTTCCCTCTATCATTCTTCTCTTTAAATAATAAAATTTAAAAGAAATTTTATTTTCAGCGTTAAAATCACTATGTAGGACTATAATCAAACAATTAAATCATCTCTTAGCTATTTCATTATAAAATAAAGAGCATTTGATACTTACAAGAGCTAACGCAGAAGTAAAAAAAATATTCCTATCATTCAACACTTAGCTAAGCCTAGCCATGTACCCACTTTACCCTACCTTAGAAAGCAATTCATAATAAATAGAATTTTATAATTTTATCTTTAATTTCTATGTAGATCTGTTCTTTAGATGTTCCCCTATCAGTTTGAACTGAAATTAATAGTTTTTGATAGATTTTAATGATATTAAAAGAAAGTTCTTCAGCTTAAAGTAATATACTTAAATTAATCATGAACAAATAGTTAAAAAACATTAAAAATTTTTTTTTCAGTTTCTGAAATTGAAATGAAAATGCTAGCCCGTAAATGTCTTTAAAAATATTAAATAAATTATCTCAACTTACTGGTCTTTTAAATATACACCCTCTTTACCCCATGTACCCATTTTCCCCCATCTGACCCTACCTAATTTTTTAAAAGGTCTAGGTGGTTTTTATTTTATAAGGAAAGAAAGCATTTATGTATTTTTTTTTTCACTTTCTATAACTTATTTAAAATTCTACTTAGGATTCTGAATTTTTTTTATTGAAGTTTACCATAATGCAAACACTATTTTAATGCAAACACTACTGAAAAATATTACAAAGAACTTTTATAATTTAATTTTTTTAGAGCTGCGAAATTCAATTTAAAAAAAAACGGTATTTAGTATTTTCGCTGTAACTTTGGAAGTTTTTTGATTATTATCTTATACTTGGTGCCAAATTACTCAGATATGAACAGGTTATATCATATGTTTCGTTGCCCACGAGTTAATTCGGTCGAAAGTAATAATATAGCTCTTAGTTCAGAAGCAAACGCATCATCCCTTATTTTTAAGAGGCTGTGCCATTACATAACTACGAAAATCAAATTGATAAATAAAAATGTATAGGTTGAGAGGAGGCAATTGTTTTAAAATGTAAAAATTGCTATTTGTTTCGAAAGATTATAATCTATTCTAAAAATAAATTTAATTCGAAAACATGATTTCGATTGATAGATTGTAATTTGAATTTTATCAATATCATGATTTTTTTCATCATCGATAAAAATATAATTAAACTATAATATAATTAAATAATAAAAGCAAGTAATTAAATAAAATAAAATAATTAAATAACAAATTTTTTTTATATCAGTGATAAAATGAATAGTTTTTCGCCATTGTAAAAATTGAACAGTGTAACAGTTCAATTTTACGCGATTTTTATCAATTTTGTTATAAAGAAGTTGAAAATTTCTTATTATTAGTTTTCACTTCAAAATTAAATATTCGAATCTTCTGCTTAGTAAGTTAACTCTTATAGGTGCAGTGTGACCAGTATGGCAACACTAATTCAACAAATGTTACAAACCACTAGAAATGTAAAACTAATTGCTTTTAAAACGCTTAACAACCATTATTCTTAAAAGAATATGCCGACGATACAGCAATTATCACGAAATCTATGAGTCATTTACAAGCCTTCAAATACATGCAAAAGAAGATCTACAATATCGAAAAATGGTGCTCACAATGGAAGATAAAACTACACCCGGATAAGTGCCAAATGATTATTTTCAATAGTAAAAAGAAAGGTAGAACTATTCCTGATATAGTCCTATAGAAGCAGATCATTAAACCCACAAGGAGTGCAAAATATCTAGGAGTCACCATCACCTCTAATTTAAGTTGGAAACAACACATAAATATAATTATTAAAAAAGCGAATGGTGCCTATTGAGCCCTCAACTCCATATTAAACTCGAAGTCATCTTTAGACTTAAAATGCAAGCGCACTGTCTATCTAATGGCAGTTAGGCCAATTCTAACTTATGCCTGCCCCGGCATTAACACTCTAAGTGATCATTTAAAAAATAAACTCTCTATGGCAGAAGGGAAGAATATAAGAAGACTCGTCGGCGCCCCTAAATGCATTAGCAATAATAGTATAAAAAGGGATCTTAAAATTGATGACATCAACGTCTATTTAAAAAATTTAAACAAAAATTTCTACGATGAAGCAAAAACCTGTACCACCAGCAATTTTAACTCACTCTTAGATTTTGAATTAATTGACGACAACACTAAATTTAGTCCAATCACTGCCTTTTTCCTTAGGAATATGATGTTGCCCTAGCACACGAAATACACTCTCGATTTTTGGTGCTACGCACCCCCTCTTCCCCCCATCTCCATTCCACCTCACTACTCCTCATCATCGATTAAGTAATACAGATGAATCGGTTAATGCCGCTTCGCGGCAGCGCACCGAGATTTATATGATTTCTACCATTCTATTCTTAAAAGAACGCCTTTTTCCTATCCGATGGAGTTTTGTCCCATAAATTTTGTAAATAATTGTAAATACTTGTATATATATTTTTGCGTATTTATTATCATGCATTTTTCCTTTTCTCTGAGGCTATGTGGCCACTCTGCATCTGAGAAGCTCGGGGGTAATACCTCGTGGGGAGGCGAGGCAGTCTGTCACAAAAACCTCTTCTTTCTCTTAAATTTGTTTGTTTAATCTCGCTACTTAATTTTAATTTTCACTCAGTAAATGTTACTGAACCCCAACTTTCACCATTCATTTGCGCTTCGGCGATTTATTATTTATTCCCACTCAGATGAATAAGTTAGAGCCCCTGGCGGACTGATGCTAAGATAACCACCACATATGAGTATGAGTAGTCTTAAAAGAACAAAGAGCTAAAGTATGTCACTTCACTTTTGCACTATTTAATATCCTGCTTGACTAAAATCTCCAATCAAAATACCGTTCCGGTAAGAGTTAATATCTTAAAGTTAATAAAATATTCTAAGCACAAAACAAAGGACGACTGTCTTAAATTAATTAGGAAGGTCCACCCCCTGCTCGCCAACTCCTGTAAATGCTTCTGATTCCTCATTATCCCCCCCCCCACACTTAAAGTCGATATTTTCCACAAGAAGTCAGAATATTTTGTTTTCGAAATATACAATCATTGTAGTTAAAGATGATCATTACATGTAATAAGAGTGTTTTATTATGATGATGAACATGAAAAGAAACCCACACACCCTGGTGTTATGCATATTATACGACATTCGAATAAAGAACTTTTTAGATTTTTTAAATTTATTGTTGGGTATTGTTAATTAATCAGTAACTGTTAAATGTTTAAATCAATCTACGGAGACTTACTATACGGAAAT